ATATATACATATATATATATATATATGTATATATATATATATATAGTTATATATTTATATATACATGTATATGTATACACGTGAAAGTAGTTTTTATCATAAACAAAGTATATGTATCTTTGTAGATATATAGAAATGTATATCTATTTATATATACTTATATATATAAATAGATATACATTTCTTTATATGTATCTATGTTTATATTTATATATATTTATATGTATAAATATATATGTTTATATATATAAATATATATATTTATATATATAAATATATATAAATATATATTTATATATATTTGTTAGTATCTGTTTCGCTTGCACGGAGCGACGATCGCTGTGTTGATGAGGGAGCGTCTGGTGCATTTTGTTAGTTTAAAGCCAAATAAATAAAAAAAAAATAAATAAATAAAATAAATAAAATAAAATAAAATAAAATATTTAATTATTTAATTATTTAATACATATTTAATACAAAAAGAAAAAGGATGAACGCCTGGTGTTGGGGTGTATGTGCAGCTCAGAAACGATGAACCGCCGCCCGTGCTCAGCGGCGGCGTCGGTGGCTGGCGGTGGTTATATGAGGGTTTGTTTTTTGTTTTTTTTAATAAATTTAGAGGAATAAATAAAAAAAAATAATAAATAAATAAATAAATAAATAAAATTTAAAAAAAAAACAAAGAACCAGGTGTACACACAGCCCGACGCAGAGACAGAGACAACACCGCAAGCGACAGAAACGAACATAAAGTAGAGTCAAGCAACAGAAGAGAAAGAAAAGAAGAAAGGAATAAAGAAATAAGAATAAAAAGAATAAAATAAAATAAAATATTAATTAAAAAAGAAAAAAAAACAGAGACAAAAAAAATATATAAAGAAAGAAACAAACCCCTCTTCTCTCTGTTCTCCCCCCTCTGTCTCTCGCGACGCCCATGCTGGTGTATGCGTGCAGTATAAATATCTCTGTTGTTTTATCTTTTTGTTTTTTATGTTTATTTTTCTCTTTTATTTTATTAAATTAATATTATATTTCTTTTTCTTCTTCTTTATAACACCCCTAAACCCCTTACTGCTGCAGAAGGCGGAGATATCTATACACGCAAGCGACAGCTACAGACGCGCTTGAGGTGTATGTACACCTCAGAGCTGTATTTATTGTGAAATATTATTTTTTTTTATTTATTTTTATTTATTTTTTCTTTTTTCAGCAGCAATTATGTTAAAATAAAACCCCGTGGTTGAGGTGTGTGTGTAGCTCGTCTCCTAGTCCTTCGCTCTGCTGTGTTTGTTTGTTTGTTTTTTTTTTTTTTTTTTTTTTTTTTTTTTTTTTTTTTTTTTTTTTTTTTTTTTTT